CGAGGCCGGGATATGGGGGAGGGGACTTACAGTACATCAGCGTGTATACGAGGCCGGGATATGGGGGAGGGGACTTACAGTACATCAGCAGTTCATTGTACAGCTTCATGGATGTGATGTCAAATTTCAGCTGGAACTTGTGATCGATCTTCAGTGTGTTCACATCCCAGGCAAAGACATGGCCGCCCGCACTGCAGGAGTACGCCAGCCTGCGACACAAAGCAAGGAACGTCAGACACAATGAGAGGACATTATTATTATTATTGCGTTCCCCAAAGTCCACACAGAGCTTGAGATCAGATTAGAAGCATCCCCTGCATCTTTGGAGAAGATGCGTTCAGGCTGTGCTTATGCAGAGGAATGCCGGGACAGTAACTATTCTTATAAGAACACCAAGTCTGATCATGTGATCACAGTGAAGGCCAGACATGCTCCCGCCCCACATAGTTCTGGATATTTTATAATCAAGCTCATTAAAAGAAACCTGGCAGGGGCCCTAACCCTTCTACACTCTATGCTTTAGCTTTAGATCAGGGGTCTCAAACCTCCGGCCCTCCAGCTGTGGTGAAACTACAAATCCCATGATGCATCTCTCTCCGGGAGTCATGTCTGTGGCTGTGAGAATCTTGCAATGCCTCATGGGATTCGTAGTTCCACCACAGCTGGGGGGCCGGACCCCTGCTTTAGATCCTTTATAAAATAGGCTGAAGCATTCCTTCCCCCGGAGACTCGGCTCTCACCTCTTCTGAGCATCGCCGGCTTCAGGAACGATGTCCACTACCTCGTGCCGGTGGTCACTTAGCTGCTTGTTACAGGACATACTGTGGATGTTGATGATGTAAATGATGGAATCACTCGATCCGATCCACACATGAGTCGGGTCCACGGCCACCATACAGCGCTAGAGGGAGACACAGCGTTACACGTGTGACATACATACACACGCCACATATAAATGGGGTGCACTACCACCATACAGCGCTAGAGGGAGACACAGCGTTACACGTGTGACATACATACACACGCCACATATAACTGGGGTACACTACCACCATACAGCGCTAGAGGGAGACACAGCGTTACACGTGTGACATACATACACACGCCACATATAACTGGGGTACACTACCACCATACAGCGCTAGAGGGAGACACAGCGTTACACGTGTGACATACATACACACGCCACATATAACTGGGGTACACTACCACCATACAGCGCTAGAGGGAGACACAGCGTTACACGTGTGACATACATACACACGCCACATATAACTGGGGTGCGCTACCACCATACACCTCTAGAGGGAGACACAGCGTTACACGTGTGACATACATACACACGCCACATATAACTGGGGT